AATGCAGGGTTGCTGCGCGCAGGTAACTGAAACCCAAACACCCAAACTGAAACGCGAAAAAAACTCGCTCGTTCGCTCGCGTACCGATTCTCTGGTCGTCCGTGTGCACAGCGCACTTTGTCGGCGACGACCGCAGTTCAGCTTTGTCTGTCGGTTGATCCGATTTTTTTTTGCCTTGGCCTGGCGTCTCCACAGGCGGCTTTTCAGTTATCGCCTGCTAGCCCTGCAATTGAACACCGAAAACGGCTTGGCTTCTCGCCTCTTAAATGCACACTCGCGGAGTTTGACGGAAAAGATTTGGCAGAAAACCGAGCGAATGCCCAAAATTTAAACTGTGGCTGTAGCAGCTAGAGGTGGAGAAACATTGATGTTAGCCTCGATGTCATCGATGCTTTCAAAACATCGGTAACATCGAAGTTGGGCAAGTAAGCACGCAGCCACGGTTGCAAAGGATACTCGCCAACTATCGGTTGTGCCGCTTCGATACGTCGATTGTGCGCTGGGCAGAGCTGCCAGTCCGGCAACTGTACTATAGAATCTATCGATAGGTGTTACTACTGCCGGCGGCTTAAAGTGAGTTCACAACTTCCAGGTATTAGTCTTTCTTGGGAATAAGTTACTCTCAAATTCGAACAGGTGAAAGAGCGCTGGCTTACTAACCTTGGAATGATAAGGCATTAAGCCTGACTAAGACCCGTGGAAGCAAATTGTCGGGCCAATTGTAAATCCTACCCCAAAACAATTGGTGAAAAACATCGATATTTCATCGATGTTTAGAATAAACTAATTTTTTTCACAGTAAAATTGTATTGAAATGTTTTTCTTTGCTTAGAAACAGCAGTTTGTTAACGAGATCAATCGTTTTTTCTTTATTAAAAGAGACCAGTTAATTTGCAGAGCTGCAACTCCGCCCGATGACTCCCAAAATGAATTAAGATTTCTTGAAATTTTACTCTAAGGTGGGATATAAAGAGAAAGAGAAAAATTTCAATGATTATTTTCCCCCTCTAGAGCTCTAGAGCTGCCCTTTTGAATCTGTTTGAAAAACACGCGCCACTAAGCGTGCAGAGGTCTGGCAGCTCCAAAGTTTAAATCTAGCTATTTTATTTACTAATTAAAGCATTTTATTCTGTGTAATGTTTTTAAGCTAAAAACGGTACAATAATAATAAGAGATTGTTTCTCTTCCCACGATATGGAATTCTTCAGTATTTTTGTGCACGTAATCAAACGTAAGTTTCAGTAAAAGGGGAAGTGAAATGACAACGTAAGTGTCAAGTGTTAAAAACATCGATGTTACCGATGCTTTGAAAACATCGATGACATCGATGTTAACATCTCCATTTCTCCACCTCTAAACCTAAGTTTTCCGCAAGGTGGCAACGGCGGGCGCAGACTAAAAAGACGGACTTTTTTCTATATAATATTTAATATTAGCCAGGAACCAGTGCAAAAACCGAACAACGCAATGGCTGCTAGATTCGTACAGAAAATTGTAAGAGCCGTGTAGAGTTAAGAGTTAAGCGACCTATGGTCGCGCCCCCTTCCGCGCCGCGATTCTCCTTAGACCGAAAATTCCGCAGGACAGCAGTTGATTACGTGCTGGCCAAAAACTAAAGGCCAACTACCACTAACATTGCGATTTTGTTTCTCACCCTGGTCCTTCACCCTGCTCCACATTGCTCCGTCGATAACCACTCAACCAATCTACGAAACCCAAACCCATCATCGACAACAACACATTACGCAAAACACTTGCAGCTTAATCAACTGGGTTTGATTGCTGCGCGTGATGCTCCGGCGGCGACGGCGACGCCAGCGGTGAGCCAGGTTGGTTCCTTGAGATGATCGGCAGGAGGTCTTGGGATTGGACTGTGGGGGAGGGGAAGAGGAATCCCCCTATCGACCAGCTAGGACATCAGCTGTCAGCTGTCCGTGCGGCGAAAACGAGAACAGCCTCAGAATTCGCATTCCCTTTACATAACACTTGCTCTCTCGCTCCCTCGTTGCGTGGCCGTTATTGATAACTGCGTGTGTGTGTGGGTGAGTGGGGGATGGCCAAGGGGATGCCACCACATCCAAACCCATCCCGGAACAAAAACAGTTACCGAGATTACCAGATTCCCGGCCATATCAACGCCGTGGGAATTACTTATGCACTCTAACCTCAACATGACGAGATGTTTGGCGCGGGGGGAACAGAACTGCTGAGATTGTTGTTTGGCATGGCCTCTTATGTAATCGTAATAAAACCCTCTAGATGCCTACACAGCGCCATCCCTCCCATCCCACTGCTCGCACTGTGCCACCTGTGTAACCCAGTTATCGTTTACCCTACTTCCAGGTCAACGCGACCCCCGCCGCCAGCCGGTCCTACTCCTCCGGCACCAAGAAGGTCACCCTGATCCCCGGCGATGGCATCGGACCCGAGATCTCCGCGGCCGTTCAGAAGATTTTCACCGCCGCCAACGTGCCCATCGAGTGGGAGGCCGTGGACGTGACCCCCGTTCGGGTGAGTGTCGTAATCCCGGGCAGATGCCGATGGCAGTTCAAATCAAAACCAAACGATTCGAGCGCCATCGTTTTCAGTGTGAATGGCTTTTTGCCAACAGGTGGCAACTACGGCGTTTAAAGGCGGAACATTTCAAATGCATTCTGCCTGCAAGCATTTTAGCACTCTTAATCAGCTGGTTTTCATATAACTAGATTTGCTTTATAGTTCAATATGTGGTAAAAATACCTAATCGTCAAAGCTTTTAAAAAACTGTTTTCGAGTCAACTCTTAAAAATTCCTTAATTTGTCCAACCAAAGGTCCAAAAAAATCCACCATTTTCAAAAATGTAAATCCAGTTGTGGCACATTCTATTTATATATAGACCATTTAAGCATTAGTCTGCATTATTTAACAACAAATTAAAGGCTCTAGTTTTACTCTAATAAAGTCAATTAAAATGTGCTTACAATAAAATGTAGCCCTCATGGCAGACTTATTAGTATAAAATATTATAGACGAAAGATATGTCAAAGAGTTAACACACAAATCAAACCACATAGATTAGTAAAGTACATTTTTTTAACCCATCCGATTAGTATTATTATCCTCATTGAGTATACCTTTCTTTGGCACTTGTGCTTGTGTGTGGTATACAAAAACAGGGCGCGGACGGAAAGTTTGGCATCCCACAGGCGGCCATCGACTCGGTGAACACGAACAAGATCGGCCTAAAGGGTCCCCTGATGACGCCCGTGGGCAAGGGTCACCGCTCGCTGAACCTGGCCCTGCGCAAGGAATTCAACCTGTACGCCAACGTGCGTCCCTGCCGCAGTCTCGAGGGCTACAAGACACTGTACGACGACGTCGACGTGGTCACCATCCGCGAGAACACCGAAGGCGAGTACTCTGGCATCGAGCACGAGATCGTCGATGGTGTCGTCCAGAGCATCAAGCTGATCACCGAGGAGGCCTCCAAGCGCGTGGCCGAGTATGCCTTCCAGTACGCCAAGAACAACAACCGCAAGAAGGTTACCGTGGTTCACAAGGCGAACATTATGTAAGTGGGCACCACTCTTTTCCAGCCCCTCAACTGACCTTCTTCTTCGTATCCCTAGGCGCATGTCCGATGGCCTCTTCCTGCGCTGCGTCCGCGACATGGCCCAGAAGTTCCCGGAAATCCAGTTTGAGGAAAAGTATCTGGACACTGTGTGCCTGAACATGGTGCAGAACCCCGGCAAATACGACGTGCTGGTAGGTGTTACAGAAAACCTTGTGGCCGTTAAACCAGAGATTAACTCGAGTCTTATTTCCTTGCAGGTCATGCCCAATCTGTACGGTGATATTCTGTCTGATATGTGTGCCGGTTTGGTGGGCGGCCTCGGCCTTACGCCCTCCGGCAACATGGGCCTGAACGGTGCCCTCTTCGAGTCCGTGCACGGAACCGCCCCCGATATTGCCGGCAAGGACCTGGCCAATCCCACTGCCCTGCTGCTGTCGGCGGTGATGATGCTGCGTCACATGGAGCTCAACACGTACGCCGATAAGATTGAGCGTGCCGCCTTCGAGACCATTAAGGAGGGCAAGTACCTCACCGGCGATCTCGGCGGCCGTGCCAAGTGCTCCGAGTTCACGAACGAGATCTGCGCCAAGCTGTAGACGACGGATCTATGATCGCCCGCATAAAACTGAATCAGGTATCGCCAACAACAACAAGAAGAACATCAAGCGATACAAACAGAGCAGAGATACCGCCAGGAATATTGTGCATAGGGAAGATGATGCAGTATGAACAACAGCAATTAAACACTCGCCCCAAACCAAAAATATATAGCAGCAACAACAAAACAGAACCACAGCAACAACAACAGCAACAAAACACTCACTAAACTTTGCCGAAAGTTTCTTACGTTTACCCATTTTTTTAATTTTGTCAAAAATTTGCCTCGTTCCGCAAAACCTTCGAAAATTTAAAAAAAGTTAGAGCACTACCTTAAGTATTTTTATGTTCGAATACCTAGGTATATTATTTAAATTGCATAGGCCAAACTTGCAAGCGTTAAAATTCGTTAAATTGCCAATTTTACTTGCGGTAGTAAAGTATTTTTGTCGCCATCCAGCCAAAACCCTGAGTTATTATTGTTTATATAATTCGTATGCAAAGCGATAATCTTAATTATTTATTGATTATTAATTTTCTAATTTGTTTAGCCCTTGAATTAGGTGAGATCCCTGCGCAGGCAGCCGACCCACTTATAGAAAGCAGCAACTTTGTCAAATTTGAGGCAAAACGTGTGAAATAGAAGCCAGACTAGTTGAAAGTTGAAAGTTGAGTGTAAACGGTTACAATAATTTTATTCTAAACAGAACACAAATAAAACTTATTCAAACCAAGAGAGAAATACACAAATGCTATGAAATTGAAAGCAATTGTTATTAATAATTAAGCGAATTGTAATGCAAAATCATCATGCAATTGTTAAAACTCAATAAAGGAAACCAAACTAAATACAGAAATCGCATTTTATTTGTAATTCACAAAATTCGCAAAATATATTTTCAGAATCGACAGTTTTTGAAAAATGATTTCGATTGAACTACCCACGGATTTCAGGGTCTATGCTCTACGATTTTTACAGGGTTTATGTTATTCATTTTACACTTTCAATCGACAATAAATGTAAAATGTTATTTTTCGATACATTTTTTTTATTTGGTTGTATTTTCAAAAAATAATCAGTATCTTCTAAGATTCGTTTGTTTGAAATGCACACATGCTTATTGGAGAACAAAATATGCAAAAAAAAAAAAGGGATATCCTTTGTTAAAGCCAAAAAACATTTTTGTAATAAATTATTTTCAAAATGCTAATACATTTTAAAACCTGTCAATTAAATAAGTCACTGGTATGAATTAAAGTTAAGCTTTGTCTTGACGCTTGCTCGAGGTTTGTTAAATATGATCCGTTGCAATAAAAAAAATATATCTTTGTTGCACATGTTGCGGTTTATTCTTCCGGGCTCTCTCTTTACATCATCTGTTAGCCTAGAGACTGACATATCTTACACACATTGGTATAGTCATTTATGGTCATTAAATATAAATGTGCTCCTGCTTCCTGCTCCTGTGTACCCTACATATTGTACTATATGCTGTTTTGCATACTCTCTGTAACATACATGTGTCGTAAGTTTTTCCTTTGGTGCCGGGCATCGATCCTCTCTCTCTTCTCTTCTATTATATCATATTCTGTTCTTTTCTGTTCCGTTCCGTGGCTTCTTGCACCACTATTCGCATCTATCCGATAGGTATTTTCTATCCTACATTTGCAATGCTTGGGATAGTTGGAGTCAAAGATCTAACTTAGGTGAATTAAGCAACTAAATATCTACACTGCCATTTAGCGCAATGTCGTCGTCCGTTTTCCGTGTCAATTTAACTAACGAAGAAGTCATACAGACTGCTCCGCTCAAAAAAAAAATAAAATGCATAAGCTGCATCTTCTAATCCTAACAAAAAGTTTCTTAACCGTACGAAAATAGAAGCAAGTTTATTTGCTTATGGACTGTGTGCTCCGCCTACTGAAAAGGAGCGAATTGCAGCATGTCGGTGACGGGGGCACCCATCCGCGAGGCAATGGCCGGATTGGTCACCGTGATGGGCAGCTCCAGTGAGGTTGGCACACCGCTGCCGTTCGTCACGCCAATCACGGCCAGGCTATCCTCCAGATTGCCCTCCAGCGGCGAGACGCGGCGCAACTGCATGCCGCTCGGGTTCTCCAGCGTGGACATGATCGGCGTCTGGTCGAGCAGCGCGTTCGTCTCGTTGGTGCGCGCCGTTATCGGCGGCGTCAGGTGCACGGTCTGCGGGGGCATGGGGTGCGAAATAAACACCACACTGCCCGGCTCATCGTTGCCGACATGCAGGAGGCTGGCGCCGGTGCGGGTGTCGATGTGGAGCAGGCCAACGCCAGCGTTGGCCGCGTTCACGAAGTCCGAGTCGTCGTCGACCACCTGACTGCCGGCCAGCGCCTGGGAGAGCAAATCCGTGACGGGCACAGCCATGCCGGCCGATGGCCCATCTGCATCGTCGTCGTCGAGGGTCACCAGCTGCAGGTCACGCTCCTGCAAGTACACCTCCGCCGCCTGCAGGATGTCGCGTGCCTGAAGCACGGCTCTTATCGCGCCGGCGCCTGCCACATTGGTGCCACCGGATCCCGTCTCGGTGACGCTCACCTCGATGCACGAGTCCGGCTGCTCGGCAATGCTAAACAGCATCGAGGGGTCCAGATCCAGGCGGTGACCGTTGACGTTCAGCTGCAGCACATTGGACTGCAGCTGTTCATCGTGGAGGGACAGCTCCTCCTCCTCGTTGACATAGCTGCCGGCAGCCAGGGCACTTCCCTCGGCCACCTGGCTGAGTGGCGTCATAATGCCCATCGTGTCCACCGGCTCCACATCGTTATCCGCCTCACTGAGCAGCATTTGCGGCGACAGGTGAGGCCGCGGCGACAGCTGATCCTCCTGGTCGAGGTCCGCCTCATTCTCCGTTTCCGAGGGTTCCACCACCTGGGCCACCGCCTCGCCGCCGAGAAAGTCAATGTCCGCAAAGACGGCGGACAGCGGATGGCCGTCGGCCAGGCGCGGCGGTTCCAGCAGTGCCTCCCGCGGTACCGGCACCAGGTGGTTCTTCTCGTTGTCCAGGTACAGGGCCACGTTGTTCAGCGGCGTGAAGTTGTTGTTGTTCAGCGAGCAGAGCATGAACGTGTGGCTGTAGCCCGGGATCGGTCGAGTCATCACCGCGCAGATGCGTCCAGCGCACAGCTGAGGCGGCTGAAAAGAGCAAGTGGAAGAACGTGTTGTAAGAAAGTTTCCGGTTCTATAAGGTTACTTATGTATTTATGTAATATGATTGTGATATGTAAACTCATTTCATCCTAAAATTAATCCACTTACGTTCTCGGGACATTCCTGATCATCCTTCGTCTCGCACGACGACTCCTCGGCGACGTCGCTGCGGGATCCGCTCTCCACGTGGTCACTGGCGGCGTTCCTCGAGCGGCGTCGCGGTCTTCGTTGCCCGCCGGCCTGCGGCAGCGTCTCCGGAGGAGTTAGGACCGCGGGCGGCGACGTCGGCGAGGAGCGAAGGCGCTGCTGCTCGCGCAAATCCACCAGTTGCTGGTGGGCCTTGGCCACATCCGCGTCGCTAAGAGTTCGGGCGCAGCTGAGATGCCGAGAGGGCTTGTTTGGGCCGGTGGCGAGTGGAGTCGGGAGCAGTGGAGTGACCTGCGGGTGGCTGGCGGGGCGACGTGAGCACGGGAATAATGAGGCGGGCAGCACCAGCTCGACGGCTGCCAGCTGCTCATCCAAGGACAGATCGGTGCTATCCATTGGTCCCTCCAGCTGGAGCTGCTCCTCGTCCTCCCCCGATTCCTCCTCTGCGGTCGCCAATGGCAATTCCCCTTCCGAACTAATCCTTTTCTCTCCCACGCCCAGCTCCAGTTGATCCTCCTCGGACCTTGGCGACGGAGCGGGCTCCGCTGCTTCCATCTCTGCTTCCACATCTGCTTCCACCTCTGCATCCACCTCTGTTTCCACCTCTGCTTCCGTATCTGCTTCCATCTCTGCCTCCTGTGCGTCCTCTTCCTCCTCTTCGGGCGACGGCATGGGCCGGCTCCAGCGCGCGCGCGCCTGGCGACACTTCTCCGCACTCCGTCCGCTGACCAAGTCGGCCTCGTACTGGCGCAGCAGCTCCTGCTCGCGCTTCTTGAGCAGCACCTCGCGGGCCTGCGGCAGGATGCGCACCACATCGGGTGAATGGCGAGCCGGAGACCAGTTGGCCAGGTCACTCTCCGCTTCGGGCTCCGGCTGTGGTTCCGACTTCTTATCCTGATCCATTTCCTGCTCCAGTTCTTGCTCATGCTCCTGCTGTTCCTCTTCTGCCGGCTGCCCTACTGTTCCGGCGTCATCTTCAGGCATTGGCTCTTCATCGTGGCTCTCCTCCTCCTCCTCCTCCTGATCCTCTTGCTCATCGTTTTTTTCCGGATGCTCCGTCGTGTCCTGCGACTGCTCGTCGTCCTCATCGGGCAGCCGACTGCCATTGCTGTCGGAGGACTGGAGGCTGCCAAAGGGCTCGTACAAATTTGGCAGCCGAATGTCCTCCAGGATGAGCACGCCGCCCCGCTGCACCGGCTGGGTAGCGTCCACAATGGCCGCGTGTATCATGCCGGCGCCCGAGGCGGATCGTTGCAGCTCGCGGGCTTCCTCCGCCGAGATGACCGCGATGTTCGAGGCTATCGAGCAGCTGTTGCTGGAGCTCGGCTCCGGGGACAGCGTGCCGATGCCGTGCGATTCCGAACTTGAGCTGGCGCTGGACATGTGGTTGCTGTTGCTGTGGCTGCTGCTGTTGCTGCTCCCACTGCTGCTGCTGCTCCCGCTGCCGCTGCTGTTGTTGCTCAGCTCCTCGTGGGCAGGTAAGGGCGAAGGCAATGGCGACGGCGAGGGAGTCTGCTGTCGGATGTTGGCCCTCGGGCGCTGTGGCGGGCGACGGGAGGATTCAGTCTTGGGTTTGTTGCGCCGCTTCTTTCTGCTTCGGCTCAGGCTGCCCATTGCACCCTCGCTGCTGTTCGTGTTGCTGTTGTGGGCGCTGCTCCTCCGGCTACTGACGCCGTTGAAGAGCAGCTGGGTGACGCAGTTCGTCTCTTGGAGAGGGCTGTGAATGGTGGGGGCGGACACCTCCTCATCGCCGGCAATCAGCGAGACCGGCAGCAAATCCTCCTCCTGCGCTCCTGCCAGGACGGTCGACTTGTTGCGCGACTTGAAAATGCGCTTTTGACGCTCCTTGATAGGCAGGCTCATGTTATCGCCTTCAGCTCCTTCCTCGGGCACTGCTTCCTCGACCGCCACTGCATCCAAGGGCTCGGGCTCCTGCTCCTGCTCCACAGCTGTTTCAGGCTCGGCATGCGCCTCAACTTCGACGGCTGCGATTGTCTGTTCCTGGACATCATCGAAGCCCTTGAAGATACCTTCGTGTGTGGCATTGTCCTGGGGTTCCTGCCCTGTCACGGGCTCTTTCGTGCGCACCTCCTCTTCCCTAGCAGGAACGTCCTCTTCGCAATGGGTCTTGCCGTTGGCATCGATGCGATTGGCATTGGTGTTGGTCCGACGCCTGTAGCTTAAGCCATTCTGGCCATCTGGCCAATCCGGCTCTTTCTGCAGGTCATCCTCCTCCTCGAAGTCAAAGCAGGACGGGATGTTGCTGGCCGCCTTAGTCGAGGATGTGGCCTTATCATTGCCATTTCCATTGGGCTGCGTGTGAAGACCCCTGCCGCGCTGCCTCGGCTCGTCCTCGACAAACACCACGCTGCCGTTGGAGCTGGCGTCGCTGTCCTGGATGACAATCGGCTCGTCGACCTCCGGCTCATCGGCCTCCGGCTGGCTGTCCACGTGGAACTCCTGCACAACCACGTCGCGCCGATCCTTCTTTGGTATATTGCGTATGCGCTTCTTGGCAGCAACGCCGTCAGTCTTCTCCTGCTCCTCCCCCTCCTCTTCCTCCGCTTGCTGATTTGTTGCTGCTGCTGCTGGTGGCGGAGGTTCCACCACCTTGCTGCCATCGCCATCAACCTGCGGCTGCGGTGGTTCCTCTAGCGACTCGTCCGTCTCGTCGTCGCCCCACTCGGCCATCAGGCTAAGTTGCAACTGCTTGGAGGCGTCGATGCTGCTCTGCGGATGCCGGAGATTCTCTGGCGGCTGCACAATGTCAACCTCTGAAACCGGTTCGGGGGATGGGGTGGATGGCGGAACAGTCAGATCAGGCAGAACCGCCACTTTGTCCTTTTCCTTCCTTCCGTCACCTACCGCCCGCTTGGCCGGTGGTGGGGATGAAAGGAGCCTCGGCGGAGAGAAATGCGTATCAGATATGGGCGCCCTATTCCTGGAGAACGTTCGCTTGCGCCGCCCTACTGCGCTCCGCGGTCTCTTCTCGGCGCTCGTTGGCGTAGTGGTGAGCGTCTTGCGCAGGGGATTGCCCCGCCTTGTCGTGGGGGTCACTTCTTGGTCACTCGCCGTGGTGGCGGCGGCGGCCAGCGTGCATCGTCTGCCTCCGCCACGACGCGAAGACGTGGTTAGCATCGGTGGTGGCAGGAGGAGCTCCGGCGAGTCGGCGCCTCGCTGACGCCGGCTCATGGAACGGGTCAGTCGGCGTTGCTTGGCCGGCGGCGACTCGGGGGCGGGCATGGTGGCTCGCAGTTGGTTGGAGCGCTGGCTACGCGGATCCCGGGGATGCGCATTGCTGCGTCGCGGAGTGGTCTGCGCCATGGGCACCTGCGGCGACGACGAGTTGGAGGTGCTTGTTGAGATGGAGGCGGAGGGGGAGGCGAAGACCGAGGCCGAGGTCGAGGAGCTGTCCTCGCCGGGGCGCACCACACTCTCGATGCTGGCCAGCGTCTGCTTGGCAATGCTCTTTACCATCTTCTGCTCCTCGTTCGTCAGCGGGGCGTCCACCACGATGGACACGTGACGCGAGTGGCAGCGCACAGAGCTCCTGTGGAAGGAGGTGCTGTTGGTGGTGTGGGCTCGTCGCGCGGCCCGCGTCTTTCGTGGGGGATAGTTGCCTGTTGCCGAGCTGGTGGCAGTGCTGGTGGTGCTGTTGCTGCTGAAGCTGCTCGACGACTCCAGGTGGGCACGCCGATGGATGAGCAGGACGCTCATGCTGTTGGTGCGGAAGGTGCACATGTTGCACTCGTAGCCGGCCTCGTCGAAGGCACGATCGCGGGGCGGGGGCGCCGTGCCGCCGCCTCCGATGTCCATGATGCGAAAAGTGGGCGCCTGCTGGTGGAGTATGGGATACGATATTAGCAAAGGCTTCGGTGGCGATGCCGAGCTACTTACTCGACCCGCTGGCGAAGGCACTCCGCTGCTGCTGCGGGCACTGCTGTTGTGCACGCTGCCGCTGCTGCTGCTGCTGCTCGAGAGAAAGGCCTTGATGAGGCTGTCTGGCCGGGGGGCGGGTCCGCCGATGCCGTTTTCGGCCCATGTTTCCCTTCCGCTTCCGGTTCCTTCAAGGACCTGGTGACGGCGATAACGCGACTCTGCGATCGCCACATCGTCACTGAACTTGTCGCCCATGTGCATTCCATCGGCCTTTTCTGTAAAAGAAAACGGAAATGGATTGTCATGATCACATCACATAGTCAAGATGCTCAGAGGTTAGCTCCTAACTAGGAACTGTACCAAGAAGGTACAGAGCTTTCTTTTTTCAACTCCTTCTTTTTCTCATTTGTTAAAAAAAAATCGTTATGGATGAATCAGAGTAATGATCTAATAATGATTCCTTAGGCAGTTCTAGAGAACCCCATTATAATATGGTTATTTACCTTGCTTTAATTTTTTTCTACATACTATATTAAAATCCCTTGTTGATGTGATTTGACATATTATTTTGTTAAGTAAAAAGTAAAGATAAACCCAAATTCAAGTCTAACCTCAATTAAGGATAGTAGTGCCACTGAATATATACTTACTGGTGCCGCGTTTGATGAACTCCTCCTTGTGAGCGCATTGAAAGGGGTAAATCAGTTTCGATGATCTGACTTGCTCGCTATGCACGAATTGGTAATTGCAGGAGGGATTAGAATCTTAATATCAATAGGAAAGAGAAGACAATGGAACTTACAAGGTCTTCTCATTGAAGAACGCCACAACTGCGAATGGCGGGCGGTTGGAGTTGACGAACCGAAAGTCCTGCGACAGTGTCACTTCGCCGGGCCACCAGATCTCGGTGTTGTGGATCTTGACCCAGACCACGTCGCCATCGCTGTAGGGCGACTGCTCCGGCTCCTCGTTGCGGAAGCGGGGCATTCTGCCGAGTCGGTAGGTGTCCTGGATCTTCGTTGTCTCTGGGATTGTTCGTGGGTTCGGTGTGATAGATGTGATCCTAGCGGACAAGGACGAGGAGACATTCCATTACTCTTCCCGGCAGCTGAAAGCCATCGAAGGTAAAATGAGTATGTGCTCGAAAGACTTTCCTCGAATATAAAAAATGGCACCCAAAATCATCCTTAAGACAAAAATCTGATTGCTTAGGGAGCCCGAATTCGATTAACTACAAAGCTGTGCCAATATTTGCCGGCTTGAATCAAATTTAAAATATTGTATAGAAAACCCAAATTTCGACTTGTCAATAAAAGGTATCACCTAAAGACGGCGTAAAATTCTTTTTTTATTTTCTACCTGCTTTAGATTAATTTCATATCTTAGATATATACTAAATTCCAAATTATGAGTACCTTTACATTACTTTCGTTCATTGCAGTTTTAATTATATATTCCTATATACACCTGATACACAATAATGAAACAATTTGCATTTTTGCGTGGGTTCTTTTCATAAACCGTTATTTATTGTTGATTAGGACTGATAGCATATATGTAGTTACAATATTTATTCCACATGAACATACATTTTCGAGCAAACATATACATAGGATATAAAAGTGTTTTGGGCATGTGATTTCGAATGGAATCCGTGTTTTTATCCTCTTGTTTAGCTGAAAAATTAGCCCAAAACTACTGGTAAAAATGGAAATAAAAGCAGATAAAAACACATTTTGGGAATTTGGGTTCTACAGTAGTGATAGAACAGGTTTCTCAACACATGGAGGAGATGCCCACCGCCTGCGTGTGTGGCTAGGGTAACTAATCACATCCAATTAAGCAACGTACATATAATATGTAAATCTAGGTATTTAAGTCTGAATGTATATTTTGTTTTTTTTTGTTGTTTCTTGTATCAATGTAGATGTTCTAAAACATTTGTAAAGTATTTAATCGTTCATTAAAGTACATAATAAAACAGCGCAATGGATCAATCACAATTTCATATGCAGTCCTCCGATGCCACATTAAGTAGAAGTGCCACCACATCCTAGCAGAAGGAGCAGGAGCAGTTGTCATTGCTACTCTGGCATGACATGACCATGTCCGTATCTTTGTCCGTCTCCGTTGGGCTTCTCGGTATGGGATTGGGGGAAGAATTGGGATGTGAGGTCTGGGATTAAGAGGGGGTGTTGTCTAGTGCCTTTGGGGCAGCCGTAGCCGTTCCAGCAGCCGTGCTTAGATTGTCTTGGATTTCGGAGGTGGATGTGGGTGCACGGGACGCAGGCGACGCCGTCATTGGTGCGCCTGCACATCGACGCGCCCGCCATTGCCGTTCGTGGCCGTCGCCACATCGTCGCCCACAATGAGCACCTTGCCGACGCCATCGGGTGCCACCAGCTCGCCGCTGAGTCCGTCCAGTCCCGGTTCGCTTACATCGCCGGGTATCTTGGGCTTCGGACGGTGCGTGTCCACCGCATCGATGGGCAACTTGATGTGCTCCACCTTGCAGCCGTAGGCCACCGGCGTCAGCTTGATGACCGTGTGCAGCGGGACATACAGGTAGGGCAGCTCGTCGGCGGACTTGTCCAGGAAGTAGGCAAAGAGGCAGCGCAGCACCGCCTGGTGCGACACGACCAGCACATTGCCCTGTCGCTCCAGCTCCATGATGACCGGCTCCAGTCGGGCCACCAAATCCTCGTAGCTCTCGCCGCGTGGATAGCGATAGGCGAACTTGTTCACATCGCGCGCCTTAAACTCCTCGGGAAACTTCTCCTTGATCTGCTCGTACGTCATCTCCTCGCAGTGGCCGGCATCGATCTCGTTGAGTGCCTTCCAGCGCTCCTGTGGTGCCTTCACATCGGCCACCGTCTGGATGGCTCGCTTCATCCACGACGTCCACACGCGCAGTCCGTCGATCTGCTGCTGGGCAATGAACGTCGAAAGGGCATTCGCATACTGATGCCCGCGGGTGCTCAGATTCGAGTCGCCGCCAATCAGGCCGCTCAGATTGTACTCGCTCTCGCCGTGGCGCGTCAGGTAGATGGTGCGCGGCGTTATGTGAATGTTCATCAGGTAGTAGACGATGCGCGACTCCACGTGGCCCTCGTTGTTGTAGACGACCACCTTCTTGCCGGCATTGTAAACCTTCATGAAGCTGAGATGGGCCTCGGTGACCTCGTCGATGGGCTGATAGCGCTCCTCGTAGTGCTCGATGCGCTGCAGGAAGTCCCGCACCACCAGCTCGGTGTTCATATTGAGGTAATCCGGCGAGCTGACCTTGACCTCCAGAATGTTCTGCTCAATGATCTGCGGATCGTCGCAGATCGACTCGACGAAGAAGAGACGAAAGCCGTGCTGCTTCACCACAATGTCGTGTATCAGCTGTCGGCGGTCGCGCGTCGAATTGGTGGCATCGAAGACGGCGATGCTGCCCTGGCCGCTCAGCAGCCACTCGCAGGAGTCGTGGAGTGCCTGATTGGCGCACCGGTTACGGATGGCCATTGCCTCCTCGTTGTCGGCGCGAAAGAACTCGTGTGACTTGTAGGCGGTGGTCGCATGCCGCCTGTACTCGCCCAGATTGAATACACGCGTTGCGATCCCGATCCAGTTGAGGTAGCGCGCCAGCTTCTTGGAGATGAAGGTCTTGCCGCGCGCCGGCAGTCCCACCATGGCGATCACATGCGGTGTGGTGCAATCGGCGATGGTGCGTTCGCCGCGGATAGGGAAGGGCTTGGTCATCACCGTTTCCGAGGTGGGCGGGAGCAGCTTGCGCAGCTCCTCGGACATCACCGACGGGCAGACGTGCAGCTCATTTTCGATGGCCAGATCGGCCGTCTTCTTCAGCTGATTCAGCGAGGTGGTGCGCACGCGTAGAGACGGCGAGGTGTTGTACGGCATGTCCATGATGCTGGTGGCGGTCACGGATCGGGCTAGCTGCTTGGCAACGGCGGATGCGGTTGGGGATGCACTCGAGTTGGATGATGAGGATGTGGACGAGGCGGAGGAGGAGGAGGCGGATGCGGAGGCGCTGGAGTAGGCACAGTTGCAGCAGGTGCACAAGTCGTCTGTGTAGGGCGAAGATGTGGAGCGGGGTGGTGGTGGTGGTGGTTGTGGGCGGGGCGGGAGCAGGAGGTTGGATGTCCTTTTGGTGATCGAGGGCGGGGGTAATGTTCCTACTTGATCCTCCTCGCCGTAGTCGTCGTCGATGGAACTGCTATAGCTCCCTGAAATTTGAATAGAGTTCTTGCTTTGCGAGGATGGGGCTCCTCGTTCTGCTTCTTCTTCTTCCTGGCGCTTTTGGGGCTGCTGATCAGCTGTTCCCGCTTCTGCTGTTGTTGTTGCTGTAGCTGCTGTTTGTTGTTGTTGTGGCGTAGCGAAACATGAAATTAGTGGAGTATTTTAACATAAAAGTGCTGCTGTACTGGGTTTAATTGGCGTATGGGGAATGATTTTATATGCATGATGCGGGATGAGGATGAAGCCAACAGCATTACTCAAAGATATCGTGTATTTTTGTGTGTGCTTTTCGGAATTCGGTGGGTTAAAGCCAAAAGGATTCATATATAGAAAACTGTTCTGATGTACCTTCAAAATAACACACCAAAATTTATTGTGGATAGATACAAATTATGGATGTGCACATGTATATGTGTTTTGGTGGCTGGCTAATATTTGACTTATTTGCACTTGACGATCGAAGACGAATGAAAGTGAAACTGACAATGAGGTTGAGTTTGAGATTGAGAGTAAAAACCTCACACAAAACGAGCGTGCTGCGTGGGCGACGCTCTTTTTAGTCTTTTCCAAGCGTGAGAGAGCCGAATGGAGAGCGCAATTTTGGATTAGCACAAATAATAAACGAAAAAGACGAAGCACACATCAAAAACAAAACGAAACGAAACTAGTGAAAACAGCTGACGAATCTAGGCGTCGAATCCAATCGAATCGACTACTCCTCACACCGTTTGCTATCGATAGTTTGGCAGTGCAGTTCGATGGTGGCAGGGTTGCCAGCTCAGCTGATTATGGCGGGACTACCTGGAATTATGGCCAAATTCCCGGTTATTTTTCGGTAGTATCTGCGATCTGATGATCTACATACAACAAAAACAGCGAACTGAGGAAAACATTACACAACTCACACGCGAACCAGACATGAAATTCAAATGTGCTCGTTAACAAGTGGAATATTTATGGGTCTACTTGTCGGCGTATCGAATATTTGTATTTCTATATGGGTCCGATTCCGATCCGCTGCTGATTATTGCTCCCGGCTATCAACTACTATACTATGCCAAACATTACGGCCGAACACACATATCAAGGGATTTGCGACGGAAATTTACCACTGCTAAAGTAAAAATGATAAAGACAGGCAGAAAATTCCGTCTTTATCGCCCAACCTGAAAACCAAAACACAACTCAACCGCAAAAACCCCACAAACAGGCGGACTTTGGGGATAGGGATGGAAAGCAATACACCGAGTATGATGATCTTGGCCCCATATCTCTATCTCCCAAAAATTTCACAGCTACCGGTCCTCAACACGATCGCACAACATGATCGCACAGCAATGAACGCAATAATAGCAATAGCAAAGTTTATACCTGGGTGCTAAAATAATATCGTAGAAAAACTTAAGGGAATGTGTTCAAATATTAGGAAGATATTTGGCGTAAACCACACATTAACCATATGGTTTATTTTTATTTTTTAGAAAGCAACTGTTTTTAGCCACATTTGTTTATATTTGTTCAATGGCTGGTTCAACGTTTGATAACGCCGAATTGGCCAAGACAGATGGGACACAAACAAAAAAACAAGTTCAACTGAACCCTCAATGGCCATGGATGTAAGTTTAGTATATGTAGCTGGCTGGGACTCAATCCAAAATAGCAATAAGGAACTGGACGACCTGATTAGCGTTTATGAGATGGGCAGTAATTAGTGAGTGGTACAGTTTATAGCACCATATTTAGGGAATGGGAATGGGAATTATTACCTGGATCGGATCGACAAACGACCAGACAGAGGGGACCTGAATCCGTCGAGGAGCCGGAGCAGAGCGAATCGAAAAGGTGAAGCAGACACTGCGCTGAACG